GATCCACAAAAAATTTAGGAGGTAATTACTATTGCAAAATGGGTCAATGCTATAGATTTCAAAAATTGTGGAGTACAACCTATAGTGCAAAGTCTTATACTACTATCCAATATTATAGTACAACAATCAACATCGATGGATATTGATACCTTCTAAGAATTATTAACACCTCAAAGGCGACAAATATTACTGCAAAAGAAATTATGTTTCTATTATTGGGAACTATGCCACAAGATCAAAGATTGTCCAAAACTTCAAAATTTAGGCACCAATAAATAAAAGCAAATTCACAATCTTGAGATTCATGAAGTCAATAACAAAATGGAGCAGAAAAATGGAGCTTCTCAATAAAAGCACCAGGGGCGAGTATTGAGAATAGCTATTGTCTTTCAAAGATAAACAGCATGGCCTTGGACAACTATCATAAAGATCAACTAATGTGTCTAATGGATCAACTAAGAAAACAACCATAAAGAATTTTTGTGGATTGCAGTTCTATGAAAAATTATATCTTAATTGAAATTACCAACCAACTTAGAATTAAAACTAAGGTGATCACAAGAAGGAGTATATATCTAGCAGATGAATAAGAGAATGTATTGAATGAGACATGTGAAGAAGAAACCTTGAGGTTGTATGATACCCATACCTTAAGAGAGAAGTTTAGGATGACAAAGCTCCGATATGGCATTATCTTTGGTGTTCTATGGCTAGAGATGAGAAATAAGCAAGTTAATTGGATTATAATTTAAGATTCTTAAGTTGATTAAGTAGATTTTATTATTTTGGATTATATCTATAATAGTTTAATTTATTGTATTATTTTAAAAATTATGTATATAAAGTTTGTAATTGTGCATGTTTATTATTAAAATATAAGTATTAGAATTTGAATGTATAATTATCAATTAATATTAATATTAAGATATATTTATATTAAAATTTTATAGTTAAAAATCATAATTTTAGATAATAAAATAATTAATATATTTTTAAAATATTTGGATATAATTCTTATAAATTATATTTCTTAAAGACACTTCATTAATATTTTAGAAGATATTATGTAGAAATATTAAAAATAGATAGATAGATAGATAGATAGATAGATAGATAGATATAAGTTGTAAGTTGTAGATTAAAAGCAACTAAAAAAAGTGGTAGAAAATGAAATGAAAATATTAAAAAGTAAGAAAGTTCATGATCATGGAGATTTTTCATATAAGATATAAATTAATATTTAATTTTTTTATTGAAAACATAAATATAACATTTAGAATGCAATTTTTTGAAGTATGAGTGATATGAAAAATTATAAAATTATAGAAAGATAAATTATTTGTGTTCTTTTTTAAACTCTTTGTGATAAACTTATTATTTAATTAATTTTGCATCAATACTTTATGAATTTATAATTATATTATAATATGTGATTTAATGCATTAAAGTCTATAATTTCAAAAACATTGTAGAGTTTTTAGTATCGAACTGCATTATAATTTTTTAATTTTTTTAATTTAAGGTATTGATATTAAATTATTATAATATTTAAAAAATAATAATTAAAAATTTTACTGTGCTAAATAATAATTTCTGTAATAGTTTAAATTCAAAATAGTGATTTTTGCATAGTTATTTGCTAAAAATATTTTATTTACAATTTTATATGTTATATATTATCAAACAAGTTCATACTATGTTTTTAAGTCACAATATAGTATCAAGACTTATCTTTATTTATTTATTTATTTTTAATATATTTTTCCAAGATATATAATCACAAACAATAGTTTTGTTTTAAATATAGACATTTTATACGTTAAGAATGAATTTCTTCATGTTGTATTATAATGCATAGAAAGTTTGGCTACTAAGTGTACTATAGGATAATAGCAATTTATATAGGATTATCCTATTTGATATTAATAGTAATTTATTTAAATTAAAATTTTTAACTAAATACTATAAGATTTATTTATAATAATTACAAATTTCATTGGTTTTCATTTGAATTCTATTATATTCTATAGGCATTTATAATAATTTATCTAAAATATATCTAAATTATCAATAAAAATATATACTATTAAAATTTCTATTAAAAAAATAATAAAAAATAATATTTAGTTTTTTTTATTTGAATAATTATGGAAATACAAACTATAACAACCTCCACCTAATTAATTATCTTTTAGACTTGGATTTTTTTCTATCAAAGTTCTATAGAAGATCAAATCATGATTTTTTAAATACAAATTATAAGTATTGAGGAATATTTATTTTAAATACAATATAAATTAGTGCACTTGTTAAAAGATTTTTTTTATAACTTTTGCATCTTCAAAAGATGACAAATTTATTGTCATGTGGCATAGATTGAATATTTTTAATAACTCCTATAAATTCTTTAAAATGCTCTTATATTCATGTCATAAGTTACATTGTCTTTGTTATCTTTGTAACAATAAGATGGTTGAAAAATCAAAGAAAAATTACATAAAATATTAATATAATATTAATTTGAAAGCAAATAACTTATAACACCAAAGTTACTATGTTTTATAAAGTTAATATTTAAAATTTATATAGACCTTTGTTTATATCATTTATTATTTAAAAATATCTAAAATTTACAAATATTTGTTAATATTATTATTACCATATATATATATATATATATATATATATATATATATATATATATATATATATATATATATATATATTTATCATTTTCCAAAAGAGTGTTGGTGAGTTAATAATACACTTAGTTAATACAACCCAAAAAATAACATTAATCTTATAATAAAAACTAATTTATAATAAATTAAAAGTACTAAAAGTATTTTCTATTGCATATATTTAATTAAGATTTATGTACTAAATCTTAGATAAAAAAAACATAATACAAATCCATATTAATTATTTTAATAAAATTTTATTTTAAATAAATAAGTTTTTTGGTGAAAATAATTTTTGAAGTTAAGCATATGACTTTTTAAATATATAAAGTTATGTTATTAAACAAGTTTTTTATTTTTTTATTTTTTTATTAAAAGACTAATCAAAGTGCACTAATATGAATGTGTTTTAAATATTCAACAATTTTAGTATGTATGTGTCTTAATTATAAACTTATAGTAAATCCTACCAGAACAAACATATCAAAGCTAAAACATCATGTACAAATTTAAAATTGTCATATTTAAATGTTAAGAATGTAAGTATTCCTGAAACACATAATAAAACATCTTAAATATACTAAATTAAGATCATATTATATACTGTTTAACATCAATTTTGATATCTTTTTAAATAATATAATACATTCACAATATTATATTATTTCATCAAATTATAAACAGGTAAATATATGAAAAAGAAGAAAAAGAAAAAGAAACATCACAGAACACAGTGCAGGATAGTCCCTCAAATCTTTATATATTAAAGACACCACAAGTTAGGATAATTGATATTCTATTTTAAAATCACACTTCTAGTATTAAAAATAGTCTTGAAAAAATTAACAGAAAATAAGCTTGCACGCTTTAATTGTCGTTCACTGTATCTTCTATACACAACATGAGTTTTTTTTTTTATATATATATATATAGACTTAAGTAAAAGTAGAAGTAAAAATTAAGAAGTAAAAGTAGAAGTAAAAATTAAGAAGTAAAAGTATAAGTAAAAATTAAGAAGTATAAGTATAAGTAAAAATTAAGAAGTAAAAGTATAAGTAAAAATTAAGAAGTAAAAGTATAAGTATAAGTAAAAAGAGAAGTGAGAGGAGAAAAGTAAAAGTAAAAGTGCATTATGGAAAAGTAAAAGCTCGATTTCTGACGAAGAAACCAAGGAATTGTGACTGTCTCCGGGGCTGTCCGAAGCATGTCTGAAGTTTTCTTGCGGCATTCTTATGGGTAAATTGTTTTTTTTTTAGTGGTGCTAGCTTCCGTGGTTTCCATATTAATTAGCTCCGTTAGCCGCACACACTCTTCCCAAAGCCTTGCAGGATCAGGCCTCTGCCTTCGTGAAGGAAAGAATTCGAAGCATGAGAGCAGGTACAAGACTTGGCTCCGAATCGAAGGTCGAGAAAGAACCGATTGCAGAGTTCGAAGGACCATCCGTTCGCGACTGCTCCGCAGCAGAAGCTCGTAAATCCGATGCGTGAAAACCTAATCGTGGAATACACTCGTGGATTCGGTGAAAACCCATCTCATGCGCCAATCTACTCTCGAGTAAACCATATCCAGACACCGATCCTTCCATTGCTGTGAAGTCTTCCTCGCAGGGATGCCGAGACAACGGCGACACAGTTACAAGTAAAGCCAATTGACGTCCGGACAGACATCCCACAACACAAAGAGGTCCAAAGCCAGAAGGAAATGGAATTAGAAAGAAACATTGACATGAAGAATAGAAGGATCAAGGAGATGGGAGACAGGATGGAACGAAACAGTGGAACGAAACAGAAACACAAGGAAGTTTTAAGGCTTACCCAGTTCCCTGAAGCTTGCAGAATCAACACAACTGCACCTGTGCCCCAAGCAGCACCTGAGATGTCAAGGATCACAATCAAGTTAGGGCCGGCTCCATTCAAGTTAAAAGCAAGCCTGCTGAAGAATCACTTCGTTGCCTTCGGCGAGAGGTATGCTTCTGAGCCCTTGCAGATTGTGAAGTGTGCTTCTGGAGGTGATAAGCACAAGAGGTACCGAGCATACGTCACATTTGCAAATGAGAGGAATTGCGACGCATGTTTCCAACTGGATTCGGACGATGATGAGAAGAATTGTTTCACGAGACATGAGATTGAGGGGGTGATGGTAAAGGTTGAGCGAGCAAAAGAACTAACGAAAAAACTTGTAAAGAAGCACACAGCTCCACATGTCATACCATAGCTAAAAGGGAAAATAAAAATATTTCAAAATACGAGTAGGGAAGTTTATAGAGGTACAAAATAGTAACACGAGAAACTGTAGCACAGTGGAACGAAACAGAATTGATGCTTGTAAAGTACATGTATTGATTAATCCAGAGATCTTTTCACCAAAATCGTAAGGTTAAATTAAATTTGACATCGTAGAACTCCTCACAATACCTGATTTTGCCTCTAAACCTAAGAGGTGACAGGTTAGGAGATCATACTGAAAGCTAACTTTCTACAAGTATGTTCAAAGAGGTCATCTCATTTCTAGTGACCATGGTGTCTGCCAGTCCAGAAATTCCTACTCTACACTGATGGGGCACAGTGTTTTAGGAGCTGGCGATGATCTCACTCTTACAACTACAATCACATATGTCTTAGAGCTTGCTAACCTCAACCTGCAGTCTTCCACTTAATGTAATTCATGAGACCATCAGTAATGGTGTTGCCTGTCAAAACACAAAAATGCAACTAGTGATCAGAATTTCGTCCAATAATAATACTATCCTTCCACTTCGCTCTTTACTTCAACTCCATGTGTACTACTATTTTGGGTAATTCATAATTGTCAATACATGAATACCAAGTCTATTTCACTTAGAAAATGCGAAAACTACACAAAACCGATCCCCAAGCTTCCGGTTGACTTGCACAAGGCCTAAAAAGAAGACGTTGAATGCTCACCTTCTGAATAGATCAGGTTGACGTGTCATGGAATGAGATGAATGTCGAGAGAATGAACTGATGTCAGTACTGTAAGACGACATTTCGTCAGGAATTATACCCCAGCCAGCAGCTTTTTGCTCATCCCATTTCAGAATCTGTTTCACATAATTGAAGGCTCCAGACACAGTAGTCTTATCAAGGGCATTCAGCTGAAAGGTGAAGAGCTTACGACCCGTACAATCCACACTATTGAATAGCTCCTTATATTTATGAGCTATGTATTGGTATGCCTGCTGTGCCTGATTCTGTGCGGTATAGTGGGATGTTCCTACAGGACGGAAATCAGAGAACCATGTGCAGGTTGTGAGTGGCACGCCTTGCTCTATTTTATCCTCGAAGACGTCATATTTGTTCAAAAGCAAGACGAATGGGGTATCTTGAAAGCATGGATGTCTGAGTATGCTCTCAAAGAGGTCTCGTGTTTGAATCATCTTGTTGCTAGGATTGCCAGATCTGTCGTTCCACAGCGAGTTATAATCACTTAGAGCAACACAGAAGACTACTGCACGAACGTCCTCAAACATATCCAACCACTTGTGGCGATCGGACATGCCTTTACCCCCAACTCGTATGACCTGGTACCTGCAGCGAAATTGTGGTAAAGTTTGAGAACCAGCAAGAGTCTACTCGGAGACATTTTCCAAACTACATTACTGTAAAGCGAAATGACACACAATTTCTCTAGATGCAGAACATAAGACATCACAGTAAACACCAAATGAAGCTGCCTACAACACGAGGTCATCATTACCTGTCCAGCCCAGTGGTTGTGTCAACATCTTGCCATGAACCTGGGTTATCGTCTAAAGTGATCTCAATCTGCACTAAACCAGAACCTTGACTGAGCCCCTCCGTTCGCAATATATCTATTTCTGCCGGTTCATAATCACTCCTGCAGACGTCCACCACCTACGACAGATACATTCAAAACATGGCTTAATCATATTGTACTAGCCAAAAGTAATCTTTGTTAAACGATCCACACAACAAAACTACTTGAAAGCTTCCAAGAGTCAAGCCAGTAAACCTACCCTGTTCAAGAAGAAACTTGCTAGATCGGGCAAGAAAGGAAGCTCTGATCTTCGCTGGAATGTGGCTTGAACTGCAGAACTAAGCCACAATTGCTCAATTTTCGATGCATGATCTTGCAGGTGAGCAGAAGTTGAGGTACTCATGGACTCCAAATTCCCACAAACCATATTATCCATGAACCAATCGCTCAACTCCTTCAAATTGGGTTCTAATCTGTATATATTGTCTCCCGTGGACGACCTTTTCGGCTTCTGATTCTCATCATTCCGCCCGGAAAATCGTGCTGCATCTGATCAATCAATGACAGAGCCACGACAACTGTTAGAAATGCAATCAAACAAGAAGCACTACTAGCATCAACCATTAACCGAACTTGGAATTACACTGTAACTCACTAAAAACCCGAAACAGCTTCATCATACCTGGTTGAGACGAGGAAGGGTCGCCGTTTTCTTTACTGACGACAGACGTATCGTCAAGATGGTTCTTCGCAGAAACATTGGCAAGTTCGTCATCCTCTTCTTCGAAGTGTTCTCGACCTTCGAGTAATATGGCCATGTACTTATAAATGTTGGCTTGGATCAGGGTTTTGAAACTGGCGTACTCCTCTGGTGTGAATCCATCGTTGTACAATATTTTAGCCTAAAAGACAAGAAAAATAAAGAAATTTAAAATAAATAATCAGCCCAATCAAAGAAATATTCCCTGTCAAATTATAACGAGGACCTTGATTCTTGGTGAAAAATTCAATAAACTCCTACACATACATGTTCAAGTAAATTTGAGATTAATACGACTTAAAACCTCATCATGAAAATTCCTGTCAACATCGAGGGAAGACAAATGTCTTCTATTTAAGAGTAAATCGAGGAAAAATACACGGCAAGAAGCAATTGATTATAATGAGAAAACATTCCAAATTGAACTTAGAAGAACTCAGAAATTTGAAGGTGGTGGAGTGCTGCAAAAACAGGTTAACAACAAGAATATATTAAAAATATTTTTAGATTAGATATGATTAAAAGCAATGCATCAGTGATTTTTTATTGCCTTGCCAAACACACCTGTAAAGATAAAGAGAAAAAAAACCTGCAAATGCACAAATGCCTATAACAGGACCCTTCATGATTACATCATCATCTATAACTTTCTCGCTGTTGAAATGAAGAATTGACCTGTTTAAAGATTGTGCTCCTTCCAGAACCTTCATGCCCGAGAAGTAAAAGCTTGTGAACCTTCAAAGGATCCGCCAAACCTAGGAAACGATTGGAATGCCGTTCACAGTCGTTCACATTTGTAGAGCGTGGAGTTGGCAATGAAAAAAATGGATACAACAGTTTGATGGAAGCCTGGGAAACAAAATTTACACCAACAAAATACACCTTATCAACAAGGGAAGCATAGGGGACGAGATGCAGATTCCAGAACCTAACATAAACCCTTCGGAGAAAACATACGTTAATCTAGTGGTTCAAATCCTAAGTAAGCACGATCACTGACCATTTGACGAGTCAACAACTAATCAACCAAGACAACCCAACTGACATGCATTCGGTTCATTATAACTCTATCAACGTTAGAGGGCGGTAGGGGACGGCCGAGGAGAATGAACCCAGAAAAATGTTCTTGGATGAAATAACCGAAGAATACAAATTCCTCCCCTAGGAAGAGAAAGTAACTTTTGCAAAGAATCTTCAGATATAGATTTTTTATTTCCGATTTTCGATTTCTATTAAAAATCTAATTTCAAGCGGCCACTTGCAGAGCCCGCGTTTGGTTCCTCGGATTCTCTTTTGCCTCTCCTCAATTTGACACTCCTCGATTTCAGAAAAGTTGCGGAGTTAAAAGATGGCGTCAGTAGATTAGCCGCCTCTGACAAATTGTTTCCCTAACCCCTCCTCTGACGACCCCATGCATGCAACAAGTAGACATGTTCGAAGAAAGGACTAGCTAGACTTTTAAGCTTCTTGCAATTAACTTCGTGCAATTTTGAACACCTGCAAACGTCTTCTTTCACCAAAGGGTCCCAAATTAAACACAACAATACTCTAATCCTTCAATTTCTGATAAATACCTTCTCCCAGAGGTTGCCTTCTTTTGCCCATATATTCCCTTTAACATTCTTGAATCCTTCTTCTGAGTAGCTTCCATCATGCTCCACCCACAGAAGTGTATTTGGGACACAGTTGACGCCAGCAAACTGCATAAATTTCAACGCAACCAGGATTTAGCCAGTTTTCGGTTCAACAATATAAAACTCACACGTAATGGATGGCTGCTCCCAAGAATCCTTTGAGAATGACGAATTGAGACTCCAAAAGTAGATTAATTATCGAAGGAAAATATATCAATTCTGATTTTTCATTTAAAAACATATTTAACAGAAGATGAAGAAGCACACATCGCAAAGCTAGAGCTACTGTATTATCTAGTACAGGCAAAAGTCAAATGAGTGCACTCGGTGCGCTTCGCAATTCTTGTAATGGTCACCACTTGCCAAGTACACATCAACGATGATTGGAAAAGAAAATGAAAATACTATTTGTTTGATTACATACCTTGAGCATCTTCAGTTCCAACTTCCCCAATTCACGCCCATTCATAAATACCTGCGTCTTACCGTTGCTGGCATTCGGTTGCAGATTGCCACCTACCTTGAGGGAAGGAGTGACAATCCTATCCGGCCGATGACCCTCCTGTACAGAAGACTCAGGTTAAGCTTGAAGCAAACATGCAGAAATAACAAAATGCGAGGTTCCGCAGTTGCCGTCGGTGTCCAAAAAATGTTTATTACTTGACTAGAAATTCAAAATGAGATTAGCTCCATTGCTTGACACAAACCAGTCATAAACATACCTTTCCCCAAAGTCCTGTTTGACCGTCATACCAATACTTTCCGGGCTTCAATCTCCCTGGAGGTAGCTGGCAGCCGAGCAACACTGCGAGCTCTTCATGTGACAGGGGACGATTGTTCACCACCACTTGCTCAGGTCTCAACTGGTTGGCTGGACACTCCTTCTCAGCCTTCATAATTTGTTGCACTTCAAGAGGACTTAGCAGATGTCTCAGCAGTCTTGACGGCTTCCCAATGTAAGGCCTCCTTGGTCCAGCTATAGGTTGCCCAAGGCATGAAATACACTTCCTACCCTCAGGCATGGACCCCATCGCCTGAAGCACACAGCTGCCGCAGTACTTGGCGCCGCAGGCCATGCAGTACTCTTTTTCTAATAAAAGATTTCCTTTGCCACAACCTGCGCAACCACCCTTCTTCCATGGCAACACAGGAGGAATCGCAGGTCTGTCACCCCCGTGGTTAGCAATATTCACAAGCTCACTTCTTTCTTCCACGGAGTCGTAGCTTTTGGGTGTGTAGAAACCAGAGTTGATCTGAATAGATTCAGGGGAATACATCACGCTTGATTCATCGGCACCAGATCTATTAAATTCTCCATTGAAACTCTCATCTGTATAAGGGGCATTTGCAACAAGTCCTGTTGTTGCTAAAACCACAGATAGAGATGGCGAGACGGAGGCTGAACTCTCTCCACTATGTAATGATGAAGATTTTTGTAGTATCACTTGGGAAGGAATTGTTGCATCGACTGTTGTAACAGAAAATGAAGGAACATCGATGGTGCGTGATTCGATCTCATCATCTCCAGGATAGTCAGTTTGCAGGCCCTGCACAAGCTCCTTTGGGATTTTTTCTCCTGGAATTTGTTGAGGCGTATCGAAGACTGATTCCCCTTTCGCTACGCTCATCTCAACGGGAGTGCTTGCGGCACTTGAAAAACTTGGAACACCGAACGGACCATTTGAAATATCCTGAGAGCTTTCGAGTGACGAAAGCTTCATCCTATGAGATGGCTCAGCCATTTCTTCCGATCTATCACCGATTGATGCATCCAAGACCTCGGAAACATTTCCAGAGGGCTCTTGTGGTTCTAGACTCTTCGAACCTAAATCTATTGAGGTATCTACTTCTTTATCTAAAGTAGGAAATACAAAGCCCTCTCGGGAGGCGTGAGGGGCCACAGTCGGTGGAGATAAATTCGTCTGGGGTTGAGTGCTCGGCTGCATTATAGACCTAGATTTATTCGACATATAATGTTTATTACCGATACGGGATAAAGCAACTGCTACAGGAATAGAGTCCGAGGTTTGACATCTTTTTATTCCAGAATGCGAGGAATTCGAGAGCTTATACTTCGAAAAACCGTCCTTCTTGTCAGGCCCGCCATAATCTACAGCCATGGAGTAATCAAGCTCCTTCTGATTAGCATGCAAAGAGACTCCGATTGAATTCAATAAATCGTCAACTGATTGCTCCTGTTGAGGATTATCAAGAGCTTGCTGCTTCAATCTAGCAGCCACACTTGAAGGCTCAGGCTCCGCATTCGAATTATGAAACTGCGAATAGATGCGACTTGAACCTGCATAAATTTACAATTACAACCTCCTGTGACTAATAATGCGCGGAATGATCAAACTGTGTAATTAGGTCATGCACACACGGTGCAAAGTACTATTATCAGAGAAGCCACTCAGAAACAACGCACTAAAATACATATCTCCAATTGCATAGCGAGTTCGTCAGAACAAAAGTGCAGCGGAAGCGTGCAAGCTTCAAAGGTCGCCCAAACATGATACACGCTAATCTACTCACCTCCACCATTCAAATGTTCTCTCGTCGTAAGAGCAGACGTGCCTTCCAAAGAGCTCTCCATACTGTCATCGCCGTTGCTAGCTTGTCCACCTGTTGATGCTCCAAACTGGCCACCAAGAATAGTCGTCGGCTGAGCTCTACTTCCATCCAACTCCCCCGCTTCATTTCTCCTTCTGTATTTCATCTCACCCGTCGGAGAATACTGTACAAGTGAAGCCTGCGAAGCATTCAGAACTTACGTATGATCGACACCACAATCCAAAAGTTGAAGCAAATACTAGTGCTTTCCAACACACTAGAGACCGAACAGTAGGTTCTCAAGACAGAGAGAATACAGGCACAGCTGTGCACGACTGCTTTGTCTATTACTCTCGCACCTGGCGCCTCGATTAAAAGAGATGGTTGACTGGAAAGAACACTGATACTACATAAACCAGCACTGCATAAAGTACGCGACCATAATGCACAGTAAATCCTCCCGCAGAAAATTCCAAAACCCCCCCTACGAACACAACAGTTTGACCTCCATTAGCCCTTGAAAGCACAATCGTATGACTCTCGAGAACCTTCCTCTTCTAACCCTTACATCACCCTCCAACACCATGGCCGTAAGTCAACATCATCCCTGCTCCTCTATTTCCTCACTCGATCTTCAAATTAGCTCCAACACCTAAAAGCCAACCCAAATCATATAACACGCCTCAACGGAAATGAAGCGAACAAAATCACCTGAGGATTTCGTGGAAACGCCATCGTCGCCCGCCTTCGAACTTTATAACTATCCAGCAGCCGGCGTTACACAGCAACCGCAATGTCGCAGATAGAGCCAGTAGTACCCCCAATGCTTGCTATTGCGGTCTGACATCACCATCTCCATCACTATCCTCTGATGTCCAAAAGTCACTCCTCACGTACTCCTAATCCTGCTCTCTCTCTCTCGCTCTCCCTCACAGTCATAACCTTCACATACTCTGTCTCTCTCCCTCTCTCACCCTCCTGCTAAGCCGCTATGTCCTTCATCAAACGAAACCGATCAAGCACACCCTCGATCTAGAGCTTATAAATCTCCTCCTCTTGGTTTCCGCCTGTCGGCATTCCAGCTAAAACCTAATGCTCCAATCCCTTGGCACTTTCCTCCCAGGTTTCAGCCCCACCTCCGCCATGTCGTTTCATCATCGATTCTACAGTGACTAGGCTGAAGCAGCGAAGCAGGGGAAAAAAATAAAAATACTCCACCACACCATCGCTTTCTACTGGCCATTCATTCAACCACCAGGTTAACTTACCCCCGCAAAACCGACTCTGCTCGAGGAAATGGGAGAGATAGACACGACAAAGCTCCCGCAACAATACCAGGGAATGAATAGTCAGAATATATTTAAAAATTTATTGCGATGGCTGCTTTGCTTGAGGTAATTGCGCCAACTAGTCGGGAGGCGAGGACCACCACCGTGGGACCGAAGAGTGTCACGCTCCCTCTCACTCGGCAAGTTCAATGTCTCTCCATTGCTGCTGCTCGACTCAGGCCATACCTGTTTTGCCCCTATGGTCATTCTTCTTCTCCCCCCACCACGCCCATGATTACGTAACTTTTACTTTTTCGTCATTAATGGCTCCGGTGGATGAAGATTCATTGCCAATCATTGTGGTTGTCCTGGGAACTGGTTCCCGACTATTGGGGAACTTGTTCTCGTGTGTGTGTTTGGATGTTGTGGTTTAGCATGAGGGTGTTGGTGGTTATTCATCATTTCAAGTGACAAAGTTCCTTCGTATTTAACTCAAAGTAAAAGTCTTGCTTTCCTACTTTTAATGAGTTGGAATTTCAAGTGTGAAATGCTTCTTTATTCATTTTTTATAAAAGTGTGAATTGGTTTGGAGAGGTTGCTGGATCACACTTCCATATTTGAATTGGTTCCAGTGTGTTTGAGCATAGAAGACTGTTTTTGAAAATATTACCATTGTTATTTTTGAGGAATTTTTAAAAACACAATGACATTCATGATTTGAAAATCAGTATAGTTTATTTATATATATATATATATATATATATATATGTGGAATGTTAAATAGATCCAAGTTTTTACTAACACAACCTATCCATGATGAAGAATATGGTAATCATGTTGAATGTGGTTGGTTTTCATTGGGTTTGAATCCATTAGTGAAGAAATGAATTTAGATGTTGTTTTTTCTTTCATAATGGGTAGGATGAGTGGATCAATTTAGTAAAAATTTGGGTCTATTTAACATTCCGTGATTGAAAATTATATATATATATATATATATATATATATACATATATATATATGTTTGGAATAAAATTTTATAGAAAAGATTAATTAAAAATAATAATGATGTATTTTATGTATCAAAACTTGTCAAACTTCTAGAAGTATTGATTTAATCTATGAAAAAAAAAAAAAAAAGTAAAATAATGATTTATTTTTTGAAAAACATGCTTGTATGTGCATTGTAACAATATATATATATATATATATATATATATATATATATACAAATATGTAGTGATTAATTTTAAAATAAATAAATAAAAATTGTATACATTTTGATGAAAAAATCTAATAATTGTGCACTAAATCTTTAAGACAATGCAAAACCACTATTCGGCTCTGTTTCCAATCTTTAACATAACAAATCTAAAGCACTATAACAAAAAATAAAAAAATCTAAATATTTTAAGATTTGATATTTACATTTTCTGTATTACTAAACAACAAATAATTATTATCATATCAATACAATATAAACAACCTTAATATATAACTATCAAAATCAAAGTAATCAACTAATTCATAAGTTTATTATTTGTGCTAAACTGATTTTTTAAATATTATGAAATAAGTATTCTCTAATAAAAAGAATAAAAGAATAAACAGAAAAGAAGAAAAACAATAATAAATAAATAAATAGAATTAAACTTGCTAGAAACATATCATATTGAAATAGTATATATTATACAAGTAAGAAGTATTCTATAGTTTTTTGAGAAAAATAAGAACTACAATCTTTTGTAAATATTAAATAAACCGTTAAAATTCTATTGAATAATATCTTAAGTTTTTTTATAATATATTTTTAAATAAAAAAAATATACCTCATATCCGAATTTCTATTTTAAACTTAATGATTAATGTTTTTTGGATATTGAGATACATCAGTTACAAATAGAAATAAAATCATTTTGGTCAAAATAATTAGTTTAAGATCATATATTTATTAAAATACCCCCTTCTCAAAAGGAACACTTTTTACATTTTCTTTGCTGAGTGAAATATATATATATATATATATATATATATATATACATAAAAATTAATGTAGGATATATAAGATAACATTATAGCACATTAAATCTGCAATATTTAGTATTTAAAAAATAAAATAATATTCATCATAAATTTTATAAATGAATATAAATAGATTTTTTTTTTGTAATAAACAAGCAATAAATTCAATAGAATAAATCTTATGGTTTTAAAAATATTTATAAGGTAAATAACATAACATAAAATAAAATAAAAATATTATTACATTATTATCATATCAAATGTAGTTTATATTTTAAAATAAAAATAACAATAGCCAACTATAATAAAATAATAAATTATACGTGCAATTTAAATTAATATATTAAATTGATGTTTATAGATATATATATATATATATATATATAGAGAGAGAGAGAGAGGGAGAGAGTTGTAATAATATTCATAGTAATATTAAATTCTTACTTTAAAAAACATGGCGCTTAATTAAAGTTAGTGTACTATATACCAATGTATTTTAAATTCTTTTAAAAAATTAACGATTTTATTTGTATCATATTATTATAAATATATAATTTTTAAATGTCAAATTAACTTCTTGATTATTGGGACTGTATCATAGTTTGTTTTTTTTTGTTTTTTTTTTTGTTTTTTAAAAAAAAAACATTCATAGATGTTGAAGAAAAATAAATCATTTCATGGAAGTGATATAAAAACAAATATTGTTATAAATCTACACACATACTAAATGTTTTGCTAGATAGGTGAACAAGTTGCATACATGAGATTACATAATAGAAGATCTAAAAGTATGTGTATGTATATGCTCATATATATATATATATATATATATATATTCGTTTTAAAATTTTCAAGTAAAATATATTGATAAAATCATAACATTTTTTATTATTTATATAATATAAATAATAATAAATATATTTTCTTGTATGATTTTATTTAAAATAGAATTTAATATTAGTATATTATTTTGAAAATATACTATATATTAATATAAAGCAAATGAAAACTTTATTTGTTAAAGAGTTTTTGGATTGCTCAAATTAAATTGGTTCTATAAAATTATACTAAAATCAAACAAAGTACTAATATTACATCATGTATAATCTAATCAATTATCTTACCTCCTCTTCAACAATCATATCATCATCTATATTATTTGGACTTGTTTCTAATATCTAATACATGAAATTTATTACTCTATAAAAGTATAGTGATAATTATTGTATTACAGATATTTTTATCAAAATTTTAATTGTTTATGTATGTATGTATGGGTAATTTTAAAATATGTTAAATTAAAAATAATAATAATAAACTCAATTTATCACCATTGATATCAGAATAATTGAAGTAATTTAAGATAGTATAACATTTTATTGTACAATACCAATATATACTCGCAAATATTTTTCTTAAAAATTTCGAAGTTTATCTTGAAAAAATGATATAAAATTTAGTGTATTATAAAACTTATTAATTTTTAAAGACAAAACCATTAAAAAGATATATTTGCTGGATTCTACAATATCGGATAATACAGATAATTTTGTGCATATATGTTTGTAAAGAAAAATCTAAATCTTATAAAGTTAAGTAATTTAAATATGTATTGAATTTAAGATCATTTGGTACGATAATAATCTAAAATCTCCCATTCTAAATATGGCAAAATAAAAAACAATTTTGATCCATAGTTGAAGTTTTAATTAGAATGAAAATATTAATATACAATTCCATCGTCTTTATCTTTTAAAACCCAGGAGTAATATGTTTACATAAAAAGTGGATTATATATGTTGCGATTTGTCTAAAATCTCTTGGATTTGCATATTTATCAATGGTCCAACAACTTTATGCTCAAGTGCTGAAATCAATCGTGACATGTTACACTGTAATTTATGAGTTACACTGTACAGTGCTTTTAATCGTACCTTTTCAAATCTCATTAGTTGTCATTAATATGTCTTTTACAGAATATATTAAGTGATACAATTTAAAAAGTCAAGATGACAATCCACGTTGATTTCCTTGGCACGAGTCGTGATGGAAACTTCTGAAGGCGAGTTGATAACTAACATGTATCTGATTGGGATACCCGAACCCACTACGTGTATCAACCATGAGCATGTATCAACTTCTGGTTCCGGGTATACCCTCGAGAGGTGTATACCCGGCACTGAAAGCAGATCCACCAGGACAAAGAAGCTGCTCAATGCTAAGAGTAGTTCGTCGCAACCTGTCTACATTTAGGCTCGGTGGTGTAGAGCTTAGAGATTGTCGAGAGAGGAGCAAGGATTTTGCACTCGCGAGATTGCTGTAGGTTGCGTCGTTGTTTCGTTGCGCATTTGTGCGCCGAAGCTAGGATACACTGCTTCCTATTTTATAAGTTTATTATATATATATATATACTTTTTGCTTGTTAAATTTTATTGCCCTCGTTCAGTGTGTGGATTTGTTGTCCTGAAGTGAAGAAATGGCGGCCATGTTGGTGGCCTCGAGCACGGCAGTGGGAGCGGCAACTTTTGCGGTGAGGAAAGACATAGGAACTTCTACTTCGTCGACTGCAAGTCCGCAGCTAGTATTTGCGTCGAACCGCAAGGTTGTGTCTAGCGTGGCGGGCACGCTGGTGGTTTCCATGCAGGTGCATATGCGGCCCAGGGGAACTAGCTTTATGCTTGCGCGGAGTACGATGATGGAAAACCCTGCTCCTGTACGTTGGTTTCCTGCCTTGGTGTATTTCATTCTGCGTAATTGTGCGAACATCAACATTGCTTTGTGAGGTTGCGTTTCAGCATTTTCTAATTCTGTGGTTTACTTCATATCTAACCGCACTCTTACACAACGTATATTGAATTCTTTGAGGAATTTGGTTTGAAGGTGATAATCAACGTTTTGCTATTGATATTTAAGACGATAGAGATACGTTTTGGGCACGTGTCTTTTGAATATATATATTTTTTTCTGTCATGCGAGATCTCTATATCCGACACGGTATTTTATTTTAGGGACATCTTTTCTTTTTTCCATCTGCTTACACGGAATATTGGGAGTGAGGTTATTCGATAACGTTCTTTGTACCTGTTAGTTCGTTGTTGTTTGAATCTTAGTGCCCAAGGGGTCCGGGGTTTATCCTTCAGGGTTTCTCTGCATATTTGGATATTTGAAAGAAGTGTTCATATTGAAGCGATGAATTTAAAATTCAGGACATTGCTACGCACTCTGGTTATAATTTGAATGCGTCATGAGATCAGAGTGAGACTTATATTTAGCTGCCTTAAACCTATACTGGAGCTACTCAAGGGAATGTGTGGACTATATGATACGGATAAATGACAAACTTAAGGTTTGGATGAGAAGGATTATGCCATTGCATTGGCACTCGACAGTAGCTGAAGAAATGTTATGTTTTTCACGAAAGCAAAGTTATGTTCTTGACCTTAAGCCCAGTGTAACGTGACCTCTTGGGATCTAAGTGCCACCTTAGGTTGCGCATCAGAAGTGCTTCATAGCAATCTTCGACTTAGCTTACAGTGCGGATGATCGCGCATTTCTTTCGAATACTTGCTATTTGTTATGTAATTGTCATAATGTCAATTTTGACAGTAGCGGAGTACATTGGGAGTACGTTAAAGGTCAAAAGTGGAAGTGCAATACCTTTCTTACATTCTGATACGCTGTGCAGCAAAAGCAAGAGCCATACACGGTGGGAGATTACATGACCCCTGTTTCGGATTTGTATTGTGCAACAGTGAATACCACTATTGATGAAGGTATAGAGCATCGCACTTGCTCATGTTCGAGATCTTTTTTATTACTTATTAAGCTTTAAAATTTGGAAAAATTGTGGCTTATTTCCATGTGGCAGTTCAGCAGTCGCAACGTACGTTGCTAGTAAAGGTCAGTCCTAATCTCGCATGTCTTATTTATTAATCCATCCTAATACTAGCAGTATGTGATTTGTGTAGCATTGGAAGTGCTGGTTGAAAAGCGTATCACTGGCATGCCCGTAATTGATGATGCTGGAGCATTGGTACGTTCATGGATGCTTCTGTGCATAATTTGACTCGCACAAATCTCAATGTTTGTTTGAGTTTTTAGTATGGTGCTGGACTAGCAGCCCTTGGTAATTTTGTTCTTCTGCTTCTCTTTACGTAGTTTTTGGGTGGTGCTCTTTAAGGTTCAGATGTTTGTTTTGCCAGGAATTTGTGATCAAACTGTCTTTTTTCAGACGACAACCGACTTGTTCGTGTTGTTTGTAGGTGGGGGTTGTCTCCGATTACGACCTGTTGGCGCTTGATTCAATATCAGGTTTCTCTTACAATCTGATTCTGCTTTACTTTGATTCTTCTATTAACGCTTTCTGCAATACGTTCGAGCTTGATGTCACGCATTTGTGCACGTTCAAATGGCCATTTTGGGATGCATGTTCCTAGAACAGGAGGTAGTTTATGACTGTGCTTTCTTTGAATGGCAGGTCAAAGACAACCAGAAACTAGTTTATTTCCAGAAGCAGGCAGGACCTGGAAGGTGAATTAAGAAAAGCCTTTTTCATTCGTTTTTTCAGAAGTATTGATGTGTCTTTACTGATTATTTTCTTTTGTTCTAGGAAAGATATCGAACGAATTTGTTCAACTTACATGAGGCTTGTGCTTCTCCAGGCTTTCAGGGAGATCCAGAAGTTGTTGGTTAAAACCAATGGAAAGATGGTTGGAGATGTTATGACTCCATCACCACTCGTTGTTCGTGAGCACACCAACCTTGAGGATGCAGCAAGGTAAGCTCGTTGCGTTCCAGGCGTCGTGACACTGGTGTGAAAATCTATTTTTGTTTCATTTTCTTTCTTTTAATGTAATTTTGGAGGTTAATAGACATATGTGATAGTGCTGAGGATGCTAACATATAGTTGCTTTGTAATGCGAAACTCAGGGTTTTGCTTGATACCAAGTTCAGGCGTTTGCCTGTTGTCGGTGATGATGGAAAATTGGTAAGTTTGTGCTTTTTGCATGCATGTCAAATTCATTGCCGTTTAATGTTCTTTTTAGTAAAGTTGAAAGTAGCACTGGATCCACAAATCTGCATGCATACAGAATGCTCAAGTTCCAAACTTTTGTTGACCATTTAACGGACATATTTTATAAATGGTTAATCATGAACGTATTTTAATGAACATAATGAATGGTTAATTAAACCCTCGAACGCCTTTTGAGGGTGATTCCCTCTCTCTCTCTCTTCTTTGATCTTTCGATTTTTTCGTTGTCTTTTTTTTTTCCTCGTTCCCTCCCTCTCATTTAAGTAACCATTTATTTTGGTTGGTGTGTGTTCACCTGTGCGCTGTTTGGGTCCAAACAATGCACGACTTTTCTGCTGTATTGCTGTCCAGTGATCTTTCAATCATCATATTCGGTTGGAAATTTAATTAATGAGCAGAGCAATAACATAAGACATGCTATTTGCAAATTAACAAATAGTAACTAAGATCGTATACCTATAAATATCATACTTTGTGAATTATTTTTTGTGTTTTTCTCTTCAAACATGAATTTCAATGTCACACTTGTCAAATCATTTTGAAGTGTTCTTTTGTATTGAAACTGTATATCTGCAAGTTTTTGAAAGAATTAAATATACCATAACGTTATTTCTAGTATTCTTCTAGAAAACATTTTTTCTAAACTTGTGTGAAACATTTATAATTTTCATAGGAACTTAGACGTATAGGTTTTAGTTTTGATCATTAAGTATAAAAACATCATAATAACTGAAAGCACAATTATTGTATTGAACCAGAAGCACCTATCACTTGTAGGGTAAACAACTGGTCTTTCATTCTCCCTTTTTTGGCCTTGTATGCCAAGCTGTTGTTTTGGATGTGGGTAAAAATTTAGTTTTTTCTTCCATTATTTCATCAATCTACGGAATTTGGAGTTTTCATCACAGACTCGAGAACAGGCACCAGTTGTCGCAAAGAGCCTTTGTGGTACAGTTTCCCTTCTTTTGATTTTACAAACAGTAAATGTCAAAGGAGTCAATGCAGTATGTTTTCTTGAAAATTGACCGGGTGGCGAATGAAATGGATATCTAAAAGTTAAATCTTAAATTCTGATATCTCGGTTGGACCATTTGATAGCATGTTCAGGGCGCTCAAATTTGTACTAGTCTTGAATCATTTCTCATATCGATGACACAGGTCGGACTTCTAACCAGAGGCAATGTTGTAAGAGCTGCACTTATTATGAAACGAGCTGCTGAGAAAGAGCTTGGAGGAAAAGAAGCCGTAGAGGATATGTTTGGAGACACATGAATTAGTACTTTATACAAGCGTCTTGTTCATTGGAAAAGCTTCAACGGAGGTGCAGCAACCCATTGATATTCTTTGGTGTTGATAGATGCAAATTATTATACCCTTTCAGCTCTTGCATGTATACCATGAACCATCTGCTTCTACAGCCAGTTATGTCATCAGGCTAGGCGGAACTGCACACTAGTTGTGTACCTGCTTCTAGTGCCACATTTGCAGTAACTTGAAGAAAGCTGAGGAAATTTCAGTAAATATCATTTGAGGGACCTTTCCAAATTGCTTCTACTTCCTCTCTTTTTCCCGTATGGAATGTTATGTTAATTTGGGTAACTTCACATGCCTCAGATGTTGGAGTTGAACGGCGTAATGCATGGCAGTGAACTTTGAAAATAATGGTTGAACGTAAAAGTATTTAGTAATTGGGTGATGAACACCTCCAGTCTGCCTGGATATATCACAAGTATTGTCTCGACGAGCTAGGCAAGTAAACTCATGTCCTCTAGAAATTCCAGTACTGCAGGTTTACGGGCTGCTTAAGTCAGAACTTTACCTCGAGAATATGAACTCGCGGCAACGGTGCCCATTGTAAGTGGGACAAGGGTCAGCATTGGTTGAAGCGGCTACAGCGACCACTAATGTTTTCCAAATCAATTCCGAGTATTAATAGCATAAGAATCATTGCCACTCCCTAACCATGTGGTTGCCATTTGTTCTTCGTCTTGTCCGCCTGCCACCTAAGCTGCCCTTGTAAAGAAGTAATGTTTCTCTCGTATGCATACCGCCTGCTGGCCTGTGTTAATGCCCTCCCTCATTTGTGGTGGCCGGATGCTCGGTAATTCCGATGGTAGGTCTTGCTTTCAGCAAATCTTCGTTGATTATTGCGATTCTCGACAGCGAGAGCACACGCGTCACAAATAGTGACGGGGTCCCATCTATGTTACTTTAGGACCTCTAGATTCAAAAAGGATGACAGTGCTCAGAATGATTCTGGTGCTTAAGTCCTCTCGACCACAAATTTGTCTCAAGCAAGTTCCGCTTCAACCATTCTTACGAAAATTTGATCATCGTTCACTGCACAAGATGCTTGTGGAGCCAGTTGATGAAGATTGTTCATGAACCTTGATGTCAACGCCACCAGTTTATGCAAAATAGAACTTCTACGCGAAATTAGCACATCACCTTGGCTTAGAGTAGTTATGATTGATTCGCATCACACCAATTCAATCGATTGAATCTCTTCGTATCTCTGATTCCGCGCATAATTAGTAGGAACTGCTCAACTTCACTCAGTAATTAAATACGTTGTTACTCTACTTCCAATTCTTCTCATGACATGCAGTACAATATCTGCCCTGACAAAATCCAGACTGCGGCAAAACCACCGTACTAGTGTTGGTAAAAACAGCCACCCTTATTTCTACAAACACCGAGTTCGCTGCACACTCCTATTGTCTCAACCAGCAATCGAGCGGCAATCAGCACTGTTATATCGCATTCATCAATAATATCTACACGTCTCATGCGCTGAAACCAGGCCAGCTGCCACTACTGAAGGGATCAAGATAGGATACCAATTACTCGCTATTCTGTCTTGGGCCGGACTAATTTCTCCATGCGATGAGCATGTGTTGCACATATATCAACTTACAACCTAACTACAAGTTCCACTACAGGCCATATCCTCGCATGCACGCGAATGGCATAGCACACACTATTCACAATCTTCTTTACCCTATTTCTTCTCGTGAGATTTTCATCCGCCTCAACAGCCACTGTTTGAAGCCTTCAACACATGGCTCAGCTCCCAGAGCTTGTGCGAGCTCGTTCAAAGAGCTGGTCTGAACTGAAGCAAATTCATTTCGGAGGTTCCCCAAGTCATATGCGCGAAATTCGAGATAATTTCTTCTAAACCAGGGAATCAAAGTTCGCAAGATCATTGGCAAGGAAGCTATCACCACACTCCATATCGAACAGCGATGTACTTAGCTTTGAGCCACCGGAAGCTGCTTCTGACCGTCTGCTTCGCTTTGCCCTCCATGGTGATTATTTTGTACTTCGCCACGCGCTTTCTCCGCTGAGCCTCAGGATCCGCAAACCACGAAGTAGACCGCGAAATCGCCTTGCTCTTACTCCTGTCCGGCATCCCATAGCCAACGGCGCTGGAAGATTGATACTGATCCATGTTCCGACGCTCGACTCCCATCTTTATCAAACTCCACTAACTCCGACAACACCCTCTCTCAATCACACGATCGGTCGGCAAGACAACCAATACCATTCACAAACATCAGAGTCCTCACATGCCTGCACACCACTAATTCCTGCTTTCCAATCAAACTCCAGAGCAGCAGAAGAAGGTTTCCCTGTCCAGGAAACACCAGCTATCTTATCCTAACAAATACCAGACCATTACCAGTCGCGCAGGTCGCCTACTCTACCACCACCACAACAAAAATTCAGCGCACTACTACTCCCGGAGTCGAGATAAAAGAAAACCGGAGCCAAGTTGATAAGTAAAAAAACTACAAACAGATCGTCGATATAACAATTGGTGAAACTCTCTCGGAGACAGGCGCGGTGATCGATAGCGAAATCCAAATATTCCTCCCACAGGTGGTGGAACTCCCCCGCGACGCCGTCCCTCGTGCAATTTCGCTGATGTGCACAAGTGGGGTGGGATTGTGCGGGGCATGGTGGCAAGGGGAGCACTTGGTCCATGGCCACATGCGGCAACGCGGCAAGCTGCGAGAGGGAGCGCGCGGAGCCACGGCCAATGAGGCCCGCCCCCGTCCCCCCCCCCCCCCCCCCCA